ATGTCTGCCATGGTGGTTTGCTGCACAGATCAACCCATCACCTAGGTATTAAGCCCAGCATCCGTTAGCTATTCTTCCTGATGCCCTCACTCCCCTCAACCCGCTGACAGGCCTCAGTATGTTTTTTTCTTCCCAATGTGTCCATGTGTTCTCATTGTTCAGCTCCCACTTATAAGTGAGAACATGCAGTGTTTGGTTTTCTGTTCCTGCATTAGTTTGCTGAGGATGACAGTTTCTAGCTCCATCCATGTCCCTGCAAAGGATGGGATCTCATTATTTTTCATGGCTGCATAGTATTCCATGGTGTATATGTACCACATTTTCTTTATCCAGTCTATCATTGATGGGCATTTGGGTTGATTCCATGTCTCTGCTATTGTGAACAGTGCTGCAATGGACATACGCATGCATGTATCTTTATAATAGAATGATTTATATTCCTTTGGGTATATACCCAGTAATAGGATTGCTGGGTCAAATGGTATTTCTGCTTCTAGGTCTTTGAGGTATCACCACACTGTCTTCCACAATGGTTGAACTAATTTACATTCCCACCAACAGTGTAAAAGTATTCCTTTTTCTCTGCAACCTCACTAGCATCTGTTGTTTCTTGACTTTTTAATATTTGCCACTCTGACTGGCATGAGATGGTATCTCATTATGGTTTTGATTTGCATTTCTTTAATGATCAGTTGAAATTTTTTTCATATGTTTGGCTTGCCTGAAGGTCTTCTTTTGAGAAGTGTCTGTTCATGTCCTTTGCAAGGGTCTTACATCTAGTAATTGACCAGGGTGGAACTTAAACCAAGTCTACTGACACTAGGAATTCCAAAGCCCAGTCAACACAACATTGAAAATTGAGGAGAGGAAACTCATTCCTTATTTCTTATTCCTGGAAATAATTTTGTCAATTGCTTGGGAATAGACTTACATATGATATTTTAGATAGCTGTTATTAAAAAGTGTCTAGTATATTTGCCTTGAATGTTTTTCAGAGAAATAGCAAATGTATTCAGTTTTATAAATTAGGAAGAACAACACATTTAGTAAGCTACAGGAACCACCTGTAGTCTCAGTAAAAATCATACAGTGTTTTAGAAATGCTTTTTTCCCCTGCTTTTGATTAAAGGGCTACTTTATACTTTCAAATAGGTTTCTGATAGAAGAGAATACCCTTGAAGTAGCATCCCAGAATTACACTCCCAGTGATGGTGTGATGGGCCAGAGGTAGATATTTATCCTCAAGAAGCTCAAAGCTCTATTTTCATAATGCAATGTTAAGTTTTACTGTCGTTAAGGTAACAAGTTCTTGTGGTTTTGCTGCTATTGCGATACATTTAATTCAAAATTATTCCCATTTTCTCAATTCTTACATGAAAAAGGTAAACTTTTTTTGTGAGATATTTAATCAATTTTGACCTTTTTATATGATTCACTTTTGTCTTTAAATTCAGACATTAGTAGCAATGAAATCACTTAATGAAGAATCCTTTCATAAACTGATGAGATGAGTACATTTAGTCTTAGAAGAAAATGTCAACACAGTTTTTTCCCTTAATTCTATGATGTGCGTTCCATGTGTGTTTCTGAGGGTATATCTATTAATGTGAATGTTGTGTTTTTACTCCCCAAAGCAGTCATTAAATTAATGGTATATTTTATGAATTGTATTTTAGAATCAAGAAACCACTGTAGATTGTTCTCTGGGACACCTAAGTGGGTACAGTTGATCTACAGGAATCATAGGAGACACTGGATTTTCAGTTCTTGAGATGAGGTAATGTCTTAGGCATTAAAAAAAATTATTCTCAGTGGAGCTCAGCACAGTGCCTTGGAGATAGAGTATTCTGTAAATATGTGTTAAATGATGAATTTACAAACACAAGAAATCAAGATACCAATTAAGTATAGTCTTTTGAGCGGACTATAGCTACATCTAAACTAATTGCTAAAATGGCAAATGCAAAAAATCTGATGCTACCCCTGCTACGGTGATGTCATAAAGGAATTGTAACTGTACGGAGTGTAGCGCTGTTCCTAACTTTAGGTGAGATAGGAGGCGTTTTGTAGAATGAACTAAATTATTGGTGTAGAGAGCTGTCAACAAAAAATTGGGGGCAATAAGAAAATCTTGTTAATTTCTCTATTTTGCTTTGGGCTGATTCCATAGAGCTCTGTGAAGAGAATGGATAATTAATGTCTGCCATTCTGACAAGTAATCCAAGTAAATTCTGAATCAGATATTTCTTCAAAATTTGACAACTTTTAGAGCATAATTATACAATCTTGATTTACTCAGTAAACTTTTAAGTATTTGTTATAGCTATTATCAACTGTATCAGTGTTCCACAGGGACTATGGTTTGGTAGAAAGGACTCAGGGCTGGTTTGTAGCTGCTTTTTAGGTGTAGGTCTCTAGACACACAATGAACTGTGTTAAAAATAATTTGGTTTAATTGTGGCTCATTTTTCTCACCTTTAACACTTGATAGTCTCTAAAGTATCTTTCAGATTCAAGGTTCCATGAGCCTGTGACATTATAACCCACAAAAGCAGTAATTTCTGGGACATAATACAAGAGTCTAGGTTTCTGACAATTTGGTATGATAACGAGTGCCTTCAAACTACTGGCCATATTTAAGATACATTTTACTAATTCTGAAACATTTGGTCTTTGTTCAGGAGAAACTATTTCCATTAAGAGAATATAAAATCCCTTATAGAAAATCTTAAAAGTAGAAGCTACAAGCCAGAGGTAAATTAATATACAAGCAATTCTTACTCATTCATTTTTATTAATTGATGATCAAAGTTTAAACGAGGCACCTACAATTGAATAAGAATAGAATAAGGATACAATTATTATTTGACTGAGTGACAAATACCCAACTATCACTATTAACTTCATTTGAAAGTAAACCTGTATACATATCATGGCCAAACATATAAAACACATAAAGAGTCTCTATCAAACCACCTCTGTAAATCTGCATATAAATATGCTTATGCATAGAAAGGCTATATAAAGGGACAAAGATAAATTTATTAGTCACCCTTTTTATTTTCTACTTTGATTAAACTAAAGCTCCTTATGACTCTTAGTAAATATAATTTAAAATAATTCACTGACCAATTGTTTGAGGACTATTGGGAATGCTACTAGAAAAAGGTCTGTGGTTTAAAACTGAGTCTTTAAAATCATAATATTTTTCTGTATTAACAAAGACAATGAAAGTAAACAATTGCTCTTCAATTATCACATAATAAGATATTTCTGACCCATTGTGCTGGGTCTTCAGAAGTCAGTATTATTCACTGAGTCTGAGCTGTTGCACCTTAGAAAAGTGAGAATGAAGACCCCTGAAATTGTGGCCATGACACAGCTTCTCATTGACGTTTTACAGGAGCATCCAGCTGCGTATGTAGGTCTCTAGACCTCAGCTATGGAAATAAAATGTTTCAGATGTGTAGTTCTCATGTTGTTTACGGAGCCATTCATCCAGATATGCATTTAGATACTATCCAGTTCTGAAATTGTGCCTAAAAATTCTAGAGTAAAATAAATAGGGTTAAAAATCACGTCTGGGTTGATTCAAATACAAGTTTATCCAAACACAATTGAGATATAAAAATGGAGATCAGATATAAAAATGGTTAAGTCTTTTTCTAAAAAGGGCTGATTGAAAATTGGTTTCAGATGTTTATGGAGTAAACAAATTTAATGTATTTAGATGAAGAAGGTGGGTTTACAGACTTTATCCACAAACAAAATAACGATATTTGTCTTAGTGTAGAACCCAGGCATTAAATGCATTGTTTGCTTGCCTAACTATATGTAAGTCTAAAGAGGAAAATATAGATATAATGAATACCTATGAAAATTTAAGGGCTAATTACTTTTTGTACCTTAGAACAAACATGTATACTGTAACCTAAAGGGAATGTTTCTTGGTTTTTGTTTGTTTGTTTGTTTTTTGAGATGAAGTCTCACTCTGTTGCCCAAGCTGGAGTGCAGTGGCGTGATCTTGGCTTACTGTAACCTCCACCTCCTGGATTCAAGCGATTCTCCTGCCTCAGCCTCCTGAGTAGCTGGGACTACAGGCACGCACCACCATGCTCGGTTAATTTTTTTGTATTTTTAGTAGATACAGGATCTCACTATGTTGGCCAGACTGGTCTTGAACTCCCGACCTTGTGATCCACCCGCCTCCACCTCCCGAAGTGCTAGGATTACAGGCATGAGCCACTGAGCCCGGCCAGGAATGTTTCTTAATGAAGCTTAAAGTCCAGAAGTAAGGTATTATTATTAAAGTGTAGATACCAGTTTCTACAGTTTGCAGGTGTGAGAACAAAGGTAATCCAAAAGGATGCTTAAACATCAACTCGTTTCTATCAGACTTTAGTTCTCCCCTTGCAGGGCTATAGGAGAAAGCAAAAGAAACTCCAAGTTACTGAGTTCTCCAGTATAATAAGTAAAGGTTGCCAAGGTGGTGCAGTAGAAAAGAAACAGGCAGAGCTGAACATTATTAGCCTGGCTCTTAGATAGCTGTTGCAGCATTAGGCCTAGCATATCTCCTTCCTGAGCCTTAGTAAACAAAGGTAATAATACTTATTTCATAGGTTTGTTACATGTAATCTTACACATTGCATGTGTGCAATAAATGGTAACTGTTATCTGAAAGGTAGGGCTTAGTTGTTGAAGGTATTAGATTGGACCATATAAAACCAACATATTTGTAGATTAAAAATAGCCAAATTTCAGACTTCACTGTGAGGTGATACCCTCCTAGGAACCTTGAGGAAACTGTTACAGTGAGGCCACAGTGTGGAGGGCAAGGTCAGGTTCCTTGGTGAGTTTTGAGTCAATGGTCATGGATGGCCATTTGCATTAGTGACTAGTTTATAACATGCTGGAATAATATATGCCATCATGAAGCTTGGGTATCTTAGACTATCCCATTCCCTACCCACAATATAGATTAATATTTTACATCTTGCTAAAGTTAGCATATTAAACTCATTGCATTTGCATGGTTACACTTCTGTTCCATGCTGCTAAGAGTCACAAGTACACAAGAAAAATGGGCATAAACATATCGGTACACCTGCCCTTTCTAATAATACCAGTAAGATAATCATGTCTAGACTCATGGTGATCCATGTACTTTCCTAAAAGTGTGATTTCAGAGTGTTTCCCATATTTTTGATTTCCTTGTCAGTCACTCTCCTTTGGATTTGAGGCAGACGTTTCTGGAAATTTCCACTCAGCAGGATGTAGAGAAAAGGGTTAATGCTGCTGCTGGCATAGCTGAGACAGATGGAGAGGTAATAACCCACATAGAAGGCCAGTGTGGGCTGTTCCATCTGTAAGTTCACCAGTTGTATCACATGATAAGGGGCAGCACTTAGGATAAAGACTGCCACCAGCACCAGCACCATCTTTGTCAACTTCATCACTCTCTGTTTTGGTACGCTGGGATTGCAACTGCAAAGGAAACATTCAGATAGACAGGGTATAAACAACCATAGAAATCATGGGGCAATGTGTTCCTAGAATCTTTTGGACAGTTCATAATGGCTTTGCAGTGAAATATGAACCTCATTATTATATTCCTACTTAGTGCATTATGATATATTCTTTTTTATTATTGTTGAAAACTTTCCAAAGTTTCCAAAGCTGGAACAATTTTTTGTTGTTATTTTTTTAAAAATTTTTTTGTGGGTACATAGTAGGTGTATATATTTATGGAGTAAATCAGATGTTTTGATACAAGCATGCAATGTGTAATAATCACATCATGGAGAATCGGGTATCCATCCCTTCAAGCATTTATACTTTGTATTACAAACAATCCAATTACACTGTTTTAGTTATTTTTAAATGTGTAATTATTATTGACTATAGTCATCTTGTTGTGCTATTAAATGCTAGGCCTTATTCATTCTTTTGAACTATTTTTAAATACCCATTAACCTTCCTCACCTCATCCTCAGGCCCCTACTATCCTTTCAAGCCTCTGGTAACCATCTTTCTATGCTCTATGTACATGAGTACAATTGTTTTTATTTTTAGATCTCACAAATGTGTGAGAACATGTGATGCTTGTCTTTCTGGCCTGGTTTATTTCACATAAAATAATGACTTTCAGTTCCATCCATGTTCTTGCAAATGACAGTATCTCTTTCTTTTTTATGGCTGAATAGCACTCCATTGTGTATACATACCACATTATCTTTATCTATTGATCTGTTGATGGACACTTAGGTTGATTCTAAATCTTGGTAATTTATATAGCCAAGCTTTTCAACTTGATGTGATCCCATTTGTCCATTTTTGCTTTGGTTGCCTGTGCCTGCGGAGTAAGAAATTTTTGCCCAGACCAATGTCCTGGAGATTTTCTCCAATATTTTCTGATAGTGGTTTCGTAGTTTGAGGTCTTAGATTTAAGTCTTTAATCCATTTTGATTTTTGTGTATAATGAGAAATAGGGCTCTAGTTTCATTCTTCTGCATATGGATATCCAATTTTACCAACACCATTTATTGAAGAGGCTGTCTTTTTCCCAGTGTATATTCTTGGAACCTTTGTTAAAAATGAGTTCATCGTAGGTGTGTGAATTTGTTTCTGGGTTTTCTATTCTGTTTCACTGGTCTACGTCTCTGTTTTTATGTCAGTACCAGGCTGTTTTGCTTACCATAGCTTTGTAGTATTATTCGAAGTAAGGTAGTGTGATTCCTCTAGTTTTATTCTTTATGCTTAGGATATATTTGGCTATTCTGGGTCTTTTGTGGTTTCATATAAATTTTAAGATTGTTTTTTCTATTTCTGTGAAGAACATCATTGGTATTTTGATAGAGATTGCTTTGAATCTGTAGATTGCTTTGGGTAGTATGAACATTTCAACAGTACTGATTTTCCAAACACTGAATGTGGAATATCTTTCCATTTTTTGGTGTCCTCTTCAATTTCTTTCACCAATGTTTTATAGTTTTCATTACAGAGATCTTTCACTTCTTTGTTAAGTTTTTAGGTACCTAATTTTATTTGTGGCTATTATAAATGGGATTACTTTTTTATTTCTTTTTCAGATTGTTGACTATTGGCATAAAGAAATGTTACTGATTTTTGTATGTTGATTTTGTATCCTGAAACTTTACTGAATTTGTTTATCAGTTCTAATCTTTTTTTTGTTTGTTTTTTGTGGAGTCTTTAGAGTTTTCCAAATATAAAATCATGTCATCTGTAAACAAGGATAATTTGGTTTACTCCTTTCCCATTTGGCTGTCCTTTATTTCTTTCTCTTGTCTGATTGCTTTAGCTAGGACCTCAGTACTATGTTGAGTAACAGTGGTGAAAGTAAGCATCTTTGTCATATTCCAAATCTTAGAGGAAAGTCTTTCAGTTTTTTCCTCATTTAGTATGATACTAGCTGGGGGTCTGTCATATATGGCTTTTATTATGTTGAGGTATGTTCCTTCTATACCTAGTTTTTTGAAGGTTTTTATCATAAAGAGATGTTGAATTTTATCACATACATTTTCAGCATTTGATATTTCAATTTGATATATTGAATTTAAATGATCATATGATTTTTATCCTTCATTCTGTTGATATGATGTATTACATTGATTGATTTACATATGTTGAATCATCCTGGCACCCCTGGGATAAATTCCTCTTGGTCATGATGAATGAGATTTCTAATATACTGCTGAATTTGGTTTGCTAATATTTTGTTGTGAATTTTTGCATGAATATTTATCAGAGAGATTTGCCTGTAGTTTTCTTTTTTGTTGTGTCTGTCTGATTTTGGTATCACAGTAATACTGGTGTTGTAGAATGAGTTTGGAATTATTCCATGCTCTTCCATATTTCAGGATAATTTGAGTAGAATTTGTATCAGTTCTTTAAATGTTTGGTAGGATTCAGTGAAGCCATTGGGTCCTGGGTTTTTGTTTCTTGGGAGACTTTTTATTATGGCTTTGATCTCATTACTTGTCAGTGATCTGTTCAGATTTTGGATTTCTTCCTGGTTCAATCTTGGTAGGTTATATATGTATAGGAATTTGTCCATTTCTTCCGGATTTTCCAATTTAATGGCATATAGTTGCTCATGGTAGCCTCTAATTATCCTTTGACTTTCTGCAGTATCAGTTGTAATGTCTACTTTTCCATTTCTGAATTTATTTATTTAGACTTTCTCTCTTTTTTCTCAGTTAGTCAGACTATAAGGTTTGTCAATTTTGTTTAACTTTCAAAAAAAACCAGATTTTCGTTTCATTGATCTCTTGTATTGTTTTCTTCATTTTAATTTCATTCATTTTTGCTGTGATCTTTATTGTTTCTTTCCTTCTACCAATTTTGGGTTTGGTTTGCTCTTCCTTTTCTAGTTCTTTAAGGTACATTATTAGACTGTTTGACATTTTTCATCTTTTTTGATGTAGGCACTTAGAGCTATAAAATTCCCATTTAGTACTGCTTTGCTGTATCCCATAGGTTTTGGTATGTTGTGTTTCCATTATCATTTGTTTCAAGAAATTTTTCAACTGTCTTAATTTCTTCATTTACCCACTGGTCATTCAGGAGCATATTTTGTAATTTCCATGTGTTTTTATAGTTTCCAAAATTCCTCTTGTTATTGATTTACAGTTTTATTCCATTGTGGTCAGAGAAGATGTCTGGTATTATTTCAATTATTCGAATTTTTAAAGACTTGTTTTGTGACCTAACATATGCTTTATCCTTGAGAATGATCCACATGCTAAGGAAAATAATGTATATTCTGCTGTCATTGGATGAAATGTTCTGTAAATATATATTAGATCCATTTGGTCTACAGTGCACATTAAGTCCAATGTTTGTTGATTTTCTGGCTGGAAGATTTGTTCAATGCTGAAAGTAGGTTATTGAAGTCTCCAGCTACTATTATATTGGGGCCTATCTCTCTCTTTAATTCTAATAATATTCGCTTTATATATCTGGATGCTCCAGTGTTGGGTGCATATATATTTTAAATTATTATATCCTCTTGCTAAATTGACCCCTTTTTATCATTATATGGTGATCTTGTCTCTTGTTAAAGTTTTTGGATTGAAATCTATTTTGTCTGATAAGACTACTCCTGCTTTTTTTGGTTTCCATTGGTATGGTATATCTTTTTCCATTCCTTTTTTTTTCAGTCTATGTCTGTCTTTATAGTTGAAGTGTGTTTCTTGAAGGCAATAGATCAACAGGTCTTGTTTTTTCACTCAGTCAGCCAGTCTTTGTCTTTTGATTAAAGAGTTTAGTCCATTTACATTCAATGTTGTTATTGATGAGTAAGGACTTACTCCTGCCATTTAAAAATTTGTTTTCTGGTTGTTTTGTGGTGTTCCCTTCCTTTTTTCTTTCCTTCCTGTCTTCCTTTAGTGAAGATGATTTTCTTGGTAATACGATTTAGTTTCTTGCTTTTTATTTTTTGTTTATCCACTGTATGTTTTCTGAGTTGAGGTTGCCATAAATCTTACAAACACTATCTTATAAGCCATTATTTTAACCTGATAACAACTTAACACTGCATAAACAAGCAAAAAGAAAACTAGTAAAAATTCTACACCTTAACTTTGTCTCCCCAATTTTTAACTTTTTATTGTTTAAATTTATATCTTATTGCATTATCTATGTCTTAAAAAGTTGTTGTAGTTATTATTTTTGATTGGTTCATTGTTTAGTCTTTCAACTTACGGCAAGAGTGGTTTACATATCACAGTTACATTGTTATAATATTCTATGTTTTTCTTGGTACTTACTATTACCAGTGAGTTTTGTACCTTCAAGTGATTACTTATTGCTCATTAATGTCCTTTTCTTTCTGATTGGAGTACTCCCTTTAGAATTTATTGTAAAATAGGTCTCGTGTTCATGAAATTCCTCAGCTTTAGTTCATCTGGGAAAGTCTTTATTTCTCCTTCATGTTTGAAGGGTATTTTTGCTGGATATGCTACTCTAGGGTATATTTTTTTTTCCTTCAGTGTTTAAATACGTTATGCCACTCTCTCCTGGCATGTAAGGTCCAAAGTTGGAACATTTTGAAAGACCAAATAAATAACAAAGTATTAAATTATGACTCAATGTATGAAATAACTATATCAGTCTATAGTAATACAAATAATATTGAATAAAATGAGGAGAGAAGAGCCAGACCTTCTTTACAGAATAATTCCAAATAATATGGGGATTCTTATATAGATACTCCCCTTTCAGAAGATGGAGCTTAATTCCCACCTTCCTGCTTCCCCCTTGAAGGTAGGCTATGTTTAGTAACTCATTTCCAAAGAATAGAATAGTGAAAGGGATAAACAGTTTCATGGTGGAGAAACTTAGCAAACACCACCTTAGCCAGGTAATCAAGGCTAGAATCAACAGTGATGTAATGTAGCCATCATGTGACCCCTGATATGCTGTGATGAGAAGAGTTGATTTTTTAAAATAAAAACATGTAAGTACAGTTGAGTAATGATACAATATCAGACAAACCCAGATTGGGAACATTCTACAGGATACCTGGCCAGTGCTCAAGACTACGAAGGTCATGAAAAATAAGGAAAGAGTGAGAAATTCACAAATCAGAGGATACTGGGAAGACGTGATAACTAAATGCAATGTGCTATTCTGGATTGAATCTGGAATAGATTTAGGACTTTAATGGAAAAACTAGTGAAGTCCAATAAAGAATGGAATTTAGTTAACAGTAATGTACAGAAATTTTCTTTGTTTTGACAAATGTCTTAGGTAATGTAAGATGTTAATTATGGGAAAACTGAGTGAGGGGTAGTTGGGAAACCTCTATACTATCTCTGTATTATCTGTACTATATTTTTACTATCAACTTTTTAAGAAATACAAATTATTTTAAAATAAAACATATTTTAAAACTCATACATTTAATCATGTTATGTCATATTTAGGCATTTAATGAAAATTTCCCTGGGACATGAGGGTAACAGATGAACAAAACTTGGAAATAATTTTAAAAGCATGGGAGCTAAAAATCATTTGATTCTCCTGCAGTTTATCAGAGTAGGCCCTATCATTCCTCCAATTTCTTGCATTTTGACGTGTATGAGATTTGTTTCATAAGATCCTCTTTAGCATTTCTGAGAAAAATGTCAGGAGCAAAATGATCTGATTTGGAGAACTGTTTTAAAAAGGCTCAAGCATTCTCTCCAGCTGTTGGTATCTTTAATATTCCATATGATTTCACTTTAACCTTCTCACCAACTCAGCTCCCTGGGATACATTTATAAGCTATGTTTTTTTTCTGTAACTGTGGCTACTTCCTTTTTCTTCCCAAATGGACCATACTTTACAAGTGTAAGACTTTCAAAGAATTCCAAGTAACTAGGTGGTAAAAAAAAAAAGTTGTGAGCCAACAGACTACTTACAAACCTTTGGTTCAAGGGTTTGCCACAATTTTTGAGGAATGGTGGTTAAATTGTTCACATTTTTTTAAACAAAAAATTTGTAAAATTTGTAAATTTGTAGTGTGCAGGGAAACCCAGCAAACTTGCCTTTCCAAGAGAAACACAAAAATATATTTACAATATAATGTTTAATGAATGTAAGTGTGTTTTTACCCAACAGGTTATATAATTACTGACTTATTTATTTGAACAAGTAGATTGTGGAATACACAATTGCAAGGTGAAAATAATTTAGATTTATTTATGCAGTTTTAGAGACAAGTATCTTCACAGGTTCTTCTCAAGTTTGTTGACTTTAGGTTAAGTCTTTGGTTTTATTTGCTCCTAAATAATCTTTTAATATTAACAAAACCCATCTTTTAAAATTCAAATATTAATGAGACTTTTCTCCTCTAAATTAAAAAATTGAAACACAAAAATTAAAAGGTTGCACATAACATTTAAGATATTTACATACGCATGCAACTCTGCAAAATGTGCAATGAAAACAGTTAAATAACTGTTAATAACAAAAATAAATTATTCTTTAAATAGAATCTTGAGTTCTGTATGCATTTTAATGAAACCATTACATCAGTGATTTTTAACATTTGTCACTGAGAGATTCTTAAGCAGTTCATTTAGTACATGCCTTATTTTCCGAAAGTTCTTTCTATAGACATATATCAATGTCGACATGTCTAAGTGTGGTATGTTTCAAGTCACTGTTGCCTAAGTTTCTATTGTAGATGTCTTAGACTATATAAACTGTTCTTTCAACAAATAAAGCAAAATATGGCAAACACTTACCATCTGGCATCCTTATTCTGTTGATACATCTCCCAAGTATAGCATAAAATTAAAATATAGCACACCAAAATCAAGGGTAGAGGGAAAAAGAAAGTTGTTATTGTCAAATAAAGTGTATACCTGTAAAATGAGAGAGAGGGGAGAGAGAAGAGAGAGAACAACACCATTACATTAATTGGATTAGGAATTGGCTTTTGCAGTTTCCGAGGCATGACTCTTTCATTTTTCAGGGTCCAGGATAAAAGTCCTTGTGGATCTCTGGTTGCTTTATTGTAGAGAAGCCCTGATCTTCACTGTTCACCAATAACAATGCTTGTCTTTTCTCTAGCCAAACCCAGCTGTACTGAGTGCAGTATAGGTGAGGCTACCTATCACCAATCTTCAGTGTTTAACAATGACAGGCAACAGTACGTAACGTTTATTATATAGTAGGCACTGTTCTAAGCATTTTTTATATCTTTATCCACTGAATCTGTGAAACCCCATGAGTATGATGCCATTAGTGCCCTTACATTGTAGAAGAAGAAACTGAGGCACAGAGGGGTTAAGTGGCTTGCCCAAGACTACCCAAGCAGTAACTGAAAGAGGTAAAATTTGAACCCAGGATAGCCAATGCTGGTGGGAGAAGTAATGAATAAACAATCTTATCTATGTTTCTTTTAAACAATTTTCGCTGATGCATAATAGATGTACATCGTTTCAGGGTATATGTGATAGTTTAATACATTCATATAACTTGTAAAAATCAAATCAGAGTACTCGGGATTTATCTATCATCTTAACTATTTGACTTTTTAAAAATGCTAGAAACATTAAAATTATTCTCTTCTAGCTATTTTGAAATGTACAATAGGATATTTTAAACTATAGTCATCCTACTGATTCATCAAACACTAGGTCTTAATTCTTCTAGTAAAGTGTATCTTTGTATCCACTTAATCAACTTCTCTTCCTTACCCACTTCCTCTACCTTTCCTGGGATAACCACCAATCTACTATCTTTATGAGATTCACTGTTTTAGCTCCCAAATATAAGTGAGAACATGTGATATTTGTCTTTCTGTACTTGGCTCGTTTCACTTAACATAATAGCCTTCAGTTCTATTCATGCTGCTAAAAATGACAGGATTTCATTGTTTTTTATGGATGAACGCTATTCTATTGTGTATATATACCACATTTTCTTTATCCATTCACCTATTGATAGGCATTTAGATTACTTACATATTTTGGTTATTATGAACAGTACAGCAATAAACATGGTAGTACAGATATATCTTTGATATATTAATATAGTTTCTTTTGGATATAAACCCAGAACTGGAATTGTTGGATCATATGGTAGCTCTACTTTTAGTTTTTCAAGGAGCCTTTATAGTGGCTCTAATAATATATATTCCCATCAACAATGTACGAATGTTCCCCTTTGTTCACATCCTTGTCAGCATCCGTTATTGCCTGCCTTTTTGGTAAAAGCCACTTTAATTGGGGTGAGATGATACCTCCTTGTGGTTTTGATTTGCATTTCTCTGATGATTAGTGATAGCACTTTTTGTTTACCCATTGGCCATTTGTATGTCTTATTTTGAGAAATATCTGTTTGGATTTGTGCCCATTTTTTACATTGGATTATTTGGGGTTTTGTGCTATTGAGTTGTTTGAGCTCCTTATATATTCTGGCTATTAATCGCTTGTCAGATGCATGGTTTGCAAATATTTTCTTCCATTCTATGGGTTGTCTCTTCACTTTGTTGTTTTCTTTGCTGTGCAGGCTTTTTAGTTTGAGGTAATCCTATTTGCCCACTTTTGCTTAGGTTACCTGTGCTTTTGAGGTCTTACACAAAAAGTCTTTGCCCAGACCAATGTCCTGGAGCATTTCCTATGTTTTCTTCTTATAGTTTTCATAGGTTCAAGTCTTAGATTTAAGTATTTAATTCATTTTGATTTGATTTTTGTGTATGGTGAGAGGTAGGGGTCTATTTTCATTCTTCTGCATATAGTGTTCCAGTTTTCCCAGCACCATTTATTGAAGAGACTGTCCTTTCTCCATTGTATATTCTTGGCTCTTTTGTTGAAGATGAGTTGGCTATAAATGTGTGGATTTGTATCTGGGTGCTCCACTCTGTTCCATTGGTCAATGTGTCTTTTTATGCCAGTACCAGGCTGCTTTAGTTACTATAGCTTTCTAGTAAATTTTGAAGTCAGGTAGCATGATGCCTCTAGCTTTGTTCTTTTACCTCAGGATTGCTTTAGCTATTCAGGGTCTTTTGCGGTTCCACATAAATTTTAGAATTTTTTTTCTGTTTCTGTGAAAACTGTTATTGGTATTTTGAGAGATTGCATTGAATCCTGTACAGTGCTTTGGCTAGTAGTGTCATTTTAACAATATTAATTTTTCCAATTAATGAGCAGGGAATATCCTTTTTTTGCATCCTATTTCTTTCATCAGGTATCTAGGTATGTGCGTATTTTTTTTAAATCAGGGTTTTATAGCTTTCCTTATATAGATATATTACTTCTTTTGTTGAATTGAATACTAGGTATTTTATATTCTTGGTAGCTATTTTGAAGGCAATTGCATTTTTGATTTCTTTGTCAGATTGTTCATTACTGCATATATAAATGCTATTGATTTTTATACATTCATTTTGTATCCTGCAACTTTACTGAATTCATTTATCACCTCTAATAGTTGTTTGGTGGATCTTTAGGTTTTTCTAAACATAATATCATGCCATCTGTGAACAAGGCTATTTGACTTTTTCCTTTCCAATTTGAATGCCCTTCATTTCTTTCTCTTGCCTAATTGCTCTGGCTAGGATTTCTGATATTATGTTGAATAAAAGTGGTGAAGGTGGGTATCCTTGTCTTGTTCCAGATCTTAGAGAAAAGGCCTTCAATTCTTCCCCATTCAGTGCAAAATTAGCTGTAGGTATGTCATGTATGCCTTTTGTTATTTTGAGGTATATTCCTTTTATAACCAGTTTGATGAGGGTTTTATCAGAAAGGGATGCTGAATTTTATTGAATGATTTTTTGGCATTTATTGAAATAGTCATATGGTTTTTGTTCTTGGTGCTGTAAATGTGATGTATCAACTTTATTGATTTGCGTATGTTGAACCATCCTCACATTCCTTGGATGAGTCCTACTTGCTCATGATATATGATCTTTTTAAAGTGTTGTTGTATTCTGTTTGCTAATATTTTGTTGAGGATTTTTGCATCTATGTTCATCAGTAATATTGGTCTGTAGTTTTCTTTTTGTGTGTGTCTCTGGTTGGTTTTGGTATCAGAGTAATGCTGGCTTTGTAGAATGAGTTTGGAAGTATTCCTTCCTCTTCATTTTTTTTTTTGAAGTTTGAAGAGAATTGATATTAATTATTTAAATGTTTGGTAGAATTCAGCAGTGAAGCCATCAGGTCCTGGACTTTTTCTTGGTGAAAGACTCTTTTTCAGCGTCAGTCTCCTTATTCGCTGTTGGTTTGTTGAGGTTGTTTATTTCTTCATAGTTCAATCTTGGCAGGCTGTATGTGTCCAGGAATTTATTTATTTCCTCTATATTTCCCAGTTTGTTGGCATTTAGTGATGCATTACAGTTTCTAATGACTCTTTGTATTTCTGAGGTTTCAGTTGTTATGTTTCCATTTTTGTTTCTGGTTTTGTTTATTTGGATCTTCTCTCTGTTTTTCTCAGTCTAGCTAAAGGTTTGTTGGTTTTGCATATCTTTTTGAAAAGCCAACTTTTCATTTCGTTGATCATCTGTAGTTTTTTAAGTCTAATTTTATTTATTTCTGCTCTAATCTTCATTACCTCTTTCCTGCTACTAATTTTGGGTTTGGTTTGTTCTTGCCTTTCTAATTCTTTGAGGTATGTTCGTGGGTTGTTTATTTTTAAAGTCTTTCTACTTTTTTGATATCGGCATTTATTGCTATAAAATTCCTTGTTAGTATTGCTTCTGCTATATCCCATAGATTTTGGTATGCTGTAGTTCAACTTTCATTTGTTTCAAAAATGTTTAAATTTCCTTCTTGATATCTTCATTGACTGATAATTCAGGAGCATGTTGTTTAATTTACATATATTCGTGTAGTTTCCAAGGTTTCTCTTGTTATTGAGTTCTAGTTTTAGTTCACTGTGGTCAAAGACACTTGCTATAACTTCTACTTTTTTGAATTTGATCAGGTGTGTCTTGTGGCCTGATAGGATTATTCTGGGGAATGTTCTATATGCTGTTGAAAAGAATTTGCATTCTGCAACAGTTGGGTGAAATGTTCTGTAAATGTCAGGCCTATCAGGTCTAGCGTGTAGTTTAACTCTGCCGTTTCTTTGTTGATTTTCTGTCTGGATGATCTGTCAATTACAGAGAATGGTGTGTTAAAGTCTCTTACTATTATTGCATTGCAGCCCCTCCCTCCCCTCAGATCTATTAGTGTTTGCTCTATATATTTGGGAGCCCCAATGTTGGGTGCAGAGATACTTAAAATTGTTATATCCTTTTGCTGAATTGACCGCTTTATCATTATATAGTGACCTTCTTTGTCTTCTTTTACAGTCATTGATTTGTAGTGTATTTTATCTAAATATAGCTACTCTTGATATTTTTGATCTCCAGTTGTATGGAATGCCTTTTCCCATCCCTTCACTCTCAGGCTATGTGTGTCTTTAGAGGTGAAGTGGGTTTCTTGCAGGCTGCATAGAGTTGAGTCTTGTTTCTTTATCAAGCCACTCACTGCATTTTAATTGGAAAATTGAGACTATTTACATTCAGTATTATTATTGATAAGTAAAGACTTACTACTGCCATCTTGTTGCTTGTTTTCTGGTTCTGCAACTTTTCTCTTCCTTTCTTCTTTTCTTACCATCGTCCTTTGTGGAAAAGTGATTTTCTTCGATGGAATGTCTTAGTTCATTACTTTTTATTTTTAAAATCTGTTATGGATTTTTGCAATGTGGTTACAATGATGTTGACAAAAAACATATATCTTACAAGTTATTCCAAAGAGATGATTATTTATCTTACATCACAAAGAAAATAATAGAAACAAAGAAACAAGTGGAAAGAACTACACTTTAACTCCATTCCCCTACATTTTAACTTTTAGTTGTCTCAATTTACATATTTTCATATTATCTGTCTCTTAACAGGTTGCTACAGCTGTTATCATTTTTGATAGATTTGTCTTTGGGCTTCATGCTATAATTATGAGTGGATTATGTACCAAAATTACAGTATTAGAGCATTCTGGGCTTGTTAATGTATTTAATTTTATCCAGGGGTTTCATACCTTCAAATGTTTTCTTTTTGCACATTAGTGTTTTTTTTTCCTTCCAACAGAAGAACTCCCTTTAGCATTTCTTGTAAGACAGATCTGACAGTGGTAAATTCCTTCAGCTTCTGCCTGTCTGGGAAACACTTTGTCTTCTTCACAGTCAAAGAATAGATGCAATATCTTGGATGGCAGGTTTTTTTGTTTTTGTTTTAGTTTTTTTTCTTTAGCAGTTTGAAAATGTCATTTTACTCCCTCTTGGCCTATATGGTTTTTAGTAAGAAGTCCATATCCAGATGAATTAGAGCTCCTTTACACGTTATTTGCTTCTTTTCTTTTACTGATTTTAGAGTTCTATCTTTGTCTTTGACTTTTGAAAGTTTATTATCTGCCTTGGGGTAGAGTCTTATTTGGGTTGATTTTGTTTGATGTTCTCTGATCTTCCCATATCTGGATATTTACATCTTTCTCAATTTTTGGGAAATTTTCTGTTATTATTTCTTTGAATAAGCTTTCTACTTCTTGCTCTTGCTCAACTCCCTCTTGAACACTGATAAGTCTTAGATTTTGTCTTTTGAAGTAATTTTTTCTATATCTTGTATACAGTCTTCATTTCTTTTCATTCCTTTTTTTTTCTGATTGTGTATTTTCAAATAACCTCTCTTTGAGCTCACTAATTCTTTCCTTTGTTTGACCCATTCTGCTGTTGAGAATTTTTAGTAACTTTTTCAGTTCAGCAAACGTATTTCTCAATTCCAAGATTTCTTTTTTAATTTTTAAATTATTTTCATCTCCTTGTTAAATTTCTCTGATATATTTCTGAATTGCTTTTCTGTGTTATCTTGGAGATCACTGAGTTTCCTAAAAACTACTATTTTGAATTATTGGCCAGAGAGCTCACATATTGCTGTCTCATTAGGGTCAGTTACTGGTTCCCTGCTTTGTCTATTTGGAGAGATCATGGTTTGCTGTTTGCTGTTGCTTCTTGTGGATGTACAACTATGTCTTTGCATTGAGGATTTGCTATTTATTCCAGTATTCTCTGTCTGACTTGTTTTGGTTTTTATTGCATATATTTTCTTAGAGAGTCTTTATCGCTAGGTTGTTGTCTCCTTTTGGCTCTAGGTTGCGCCTTAAGCCCAGATTTGCTTTCGCTCTAGTAACCCATCAGTCACTGCCTGTCCTGAATGGGGGAGGTCCCAAAGGAGATATCCCAGATGTGTGGGAAGCCTGGCTAGGGGTTTGTCCAGGGGACCTGCTGAATGTACCTCCTGCAGTGTAGTGGTATTGAATAGCCACTCTGATTTAGTGTCTCCTTTGGCTGAGCTACAGAGTAACTGTCCCACCTCCCTACTTTGTCTCTGCCTGTTCTCAGAGATATTTCTCCCTTCCAGCACTTGTGATACTTCCCATAGGTTAAGGCAGAGACAGATATTTTGTCAGGGAACCCAAGGTGGTGGGAAAGCTGGTTGTCTACCTTGATCGTGTTTTCTTCAGTGTAGAAACTGTGAGTTGGGGGGAAATTTTTCATGTGTTTGGTGTCAAGCAGAATGGGAGAGAAGGGTGTCATGGATGTGGAAATCTGATTCTATTACAGTCGGCTTGGGGGCTTTTTCATATTTTTTTTCACTTCTCTGAAGCCTGAGGAACCGTCTCATCCTCATATTTGAGTTCTGGAGTTCTGGGATATTGCTAATGCTAACCTTGGTGCTGTATATTTGTTTTTGATTTTCTGAGGGCTCAGGGGGGCATTCAGTCAGCTTGCTTCTATGCTGCCATTTTGGAACTGGAAGTCCAGTCCTATCTATGTTGCACTATTATGTTCTAAATGTTTGTGTTCCCTCAAAATTGCTATGTTGAAAACCTAACCCCCGATATAATGGTATGAGGAATTGGGGTCCTTGGGAAGTAATTAAGTCATGAGAGTGGAGCCTTCATGAATGGGAATAGTGTCCTTATAAGAAGAGACACAAGAGAGCTTGCTTCCTGTCTCTCTCTTTTGCCACATAAGGATAGAATGAAAAGTTGGCAGACTGCAACCTGGAAGAGGGCTGTCATCAGAACTTGATCATGCTGCACTTTCATCTTGGATTTCCAGCTTCTAGAACTGTGAAAAATAAATTTCTATTGTTTACAAGCCACCTAGTCTATAGTACTTTTTTATACTAAACTGAACAAAACATGCATGTATATGAATTTTATTTTTTACTGGATTAGTGGATTTGCAGGTCCTTTACTGCCATCCTTCTTTGGCTGCGTCCACATAATGCAGAAATGACTCATCTGTTTGACAAGTTATAGAGTCGGAGAAAGGGATCTGCCGGACTGACTTGAGATAGCATATGTAAAAATATCTAACACAGTTATTGGCCATTGGTAGTTGCTCAAAGAATTTAATCATGAACTCCAATTCTATGTTCAAATTTCACATTGAAGACTTTTAATTTCCTTTTAAATTAAAATGCATAAAATGGCTATGGTAGTTGCATTAGTTTCCTAGGACTGCTGTAAGAAATTAGCACAAACTGGATAGCTTAAAACAATAGAAATTTATTCGCTCACAGCTCTGAAATCTAGGCATCTGAAATCAAGGTGCTGGCAAGTTTGGTTCTTTAGAAACTCTGAAGGAGAATCTGCTCTATGCCCCCTCCTACCCTCTCTGCTGGTTTCTGGCAATCCTTGGTGTTCCTTAGCTTACAGATACATCACTCCAATCTCTGCCTCTGTCTTCACATGTCTCTTTTCTGTGTGTCTCTGTATTTCTTAAAATCTGCTTCTCCTTATCAGGACAATAGTCATTGGGCCCACCTTAATCCAGCAAGACCTTAACTTAGCTTGATTACATCTGAAAAAACCCTATTTCCAAATAAGGTCACATTCACAGGTATGGCAGGGGGGAGCTGGTGTAGGACTTGAACATATCTTTATAGGGGACACAATTTAAGCAAACTGCAATTGCATACTGATGAGGTTTGAGTTTGAGTGACTCTGGAAATTCCTTACCTCCCTTGATTGCTGCATTCCCACTGCATCTGGCTGCTATGAATCTTTAAAATCCTATTTAAATATATTTGTGTCCACTGAGGTTACATGATTGAATTCAAAATCTTTTCTAAAGGTTATCCTCTCCTTAAAAATCAAACTATCACCTTGATTGCATGTGTGGAGAGACCTAAGTGAAGATACTGGTGAGAAGAGGATCCACAAGGATACTCTTTGAGGCTGCTCACATGTTGACAAGGAGAATGAAGTAATTCACAACTTAATTCAACTCATTTTTCTTAAGTTTTAACAACTTACCAGAGTACATCGTCAGGGGATGTCAAATCAAAAGCACAACTCTCGACACCGTCTTTAAATTTGATGACCTTCGAGTAGATCCAGACAGGCAATGCCAGGACAAAGGAAGCTGCCCAAAGGCCCAAATTGATCCGGATGGTCTTGTACCTTGTTCTCCAACTTGTCAGTCGAAATGGTTGGACGAGGGCAAAGTACCTGCAAAAGCAGTCAGGAAGAGTTTTGGAACAATCAATAAAAACACTGAGCTCCAAGGATGAAAGGTTCATGACGAGCGTAAATTATTAGCATTATTGTCCTCTCTGAAGCACACCTCTATCAGGGTAAAAGAAAGTTATATTTTTTAAGAGCTGCCTGGTATCTGTAGAGAAAACAATTCTTGGCCCTGCAAGTCTGAATAAACCACTCACTGAAATAGTTGTTCCTTCTATGAACACACTGATAATGGAAAAATTCTGCAGTGCACTCTTTACAAAGGCGCTTTTCCTGTAAATGAGACTCTGGAAAACTTTGTCTCTGAATACGGATTTCCTCCAGGAGGAAATGACCCTTTTCCCAGCAAGATTTACTGACACAGAGGCAGGAAGGAGGAAAATGTGGGGCTAAGAGAATCTCTCAGCAGAAAGGGATTCAGGAACATAGAACAAACATTTTGCCCCGATGGCTTTATACTAAAGTCACCACGCTCATGGAGTTTCAGCTCACAGAAGTCACAGTGAGGATGAACAAGTGTGACTAGTATAGACAATGCAAATTCCTTAAGGAACTTAGGCTAGGAGCCAGAGGGAAGAAATGGGCTAATTTCATGGGGAAGCATTTTTCTTTATTTTTTTTTCTTTTCATTTTACAGCCAGGAAAAAAGTGGTAATCATTAATCAAACTTGAAATTCTGACATATCTAATATATTTAGTCCTCCAGCAAATCCAAAGAATTTTTCAGAGCAAAATGAAAACTGAAGAATGAGAAACAAGAGCTCAGATTCAGAAGGAAGGCCTATTTGAAAAAGCACAGCTTTGCTGGGGGCTGGGGGGTGGTGGAGGATAGTATCAGCAGAAATTAAACAAATGTAAAAATGGATTTTATGGTCACTTAAATTTCTCCAAGTTTTTGTAAAGCTACTTAATGAAGACTCACAAAAATAAAAAAATTTCCTCTTCTTTTGCCCTTTCAATTTTGCACCAGAAGCAGGACATTTGTATTCAGTTAAGGGGCCTTTGGTTGCAGAGAGTGGTCTGGCCAGGGTTCCTCGGCTACCCATCCTCTGCACACTGCACATGCATTCCCTGTGGCTAAGGAGAGAAGGGCCTCTTTTCTCCCTGCTGGGGAAGTGGATACCGTAGTGACTGCATAGCAGCCCAGCCATCAGTTTTACTGGAATTATAGGATGATGAAGTCATGGGATCAAGCAATTAAGGAATCTTCTCTGATAGCATCCCTCCCCACTGAAAATCTTTCAATGGTTTTCTATAAATTCTCAGAATTCCTCCCATGTTCCACAGGTCTTTTTTTCCCACCTGGTTCTGCCTGCTGCTCAAGCTGGAGCCTGTGCCAGTCTCTCCCTTGACTTCCTCAAGCTCTTCCCCTTTCAAGGTCAGGTATATGCTGTGCTACCTGCCTGGCAGGATCTGCTTCTGCTTCTTCCTGCTCTTCCTTCAAGACCCTATTTAACCGTCTCCCTCTTAGGGAAGACTTGTTTGACCACCCATTCTATACAAGGGACCACGACTGTAAAAGAATATTATAGGGAGACTCTATTTTTCCTTCCTAGTGTGTTATCACTATGTGGAAATAAACATTTACTTGTGGGACTCTTCACTTAATGTCTGTCTATGTCACTAGAATGAAAGCCCCACGAGGGCAGGAGCCTTGACTATTAGTTTAAGGCCACTGTATCCCCTGTGTCCAACAATCTCTGGCATATGGTTCATGCTCAATAAATATTTTTTGAATAAATGAATGAATAAATTGCAAATTTTGGCTCCTACTTACTGACTCCTGATGTTTTAGAGAATTTATTTATAAAAGTAGCCACTAATGAAAGTCTAGGTAGCTTTCATTTGAAAGCAAACATTTTTGACATTTTGGGTGTTTATATATTGTTTTTGTATGGCTATGGAGGTAGGAGCCGACTACTAGATATTCTACACACTTGCAGTTATCACTAATTAGGGAAAGCAAAATGAGTTATTGGAAACACTTGAAATGTATGATCCATTAAATTGGCAATTAAAATGATTTAAATATGTAAACACTAAGGCATACTGATGGCACCGACATTTAGTTATGACCTTACAAAGCAAGCCTCATTTCTCTCTTACAAAATTGCAGATTTTGTTAAACTTTAATGATTTTAGTAGAGTTAGAATTACAAGAACTGTAAGGAAGGTAATGGTTCAGTTTTATAGCCTCTTCATTTGTTTCTTACCACCTGATTTTCCAGAGCGAGGGGAAGGAAAGGGCAGATGTCTTAAATGTGAAATGAAATTTTAGCATACTATGTCAATTGGATTAAAACCAAACAAAACAAAAGACTACGAGTAAGATACACACGCATGCATGTGTGTACATGTATACATACAGAGAAAAATCTGTCAATATTAAAAAATATACACAGTTTGTCTGTTCCAAGGCAGAAAATGCCCATTCACTTCATTTACAGTAAAAGATTTACAGGAGTATACCCCTCTTTTTTTTTTTTCTCAAAAAAAAGGCAATATTCTCCTGCATCCAAGGCACAGTGTATAAAGAAGCTCGTATTATCCCCAAGAATGGGATTACTAGTGGTATGGTCTATACCTTAGGTTGCTTTTCCATAGTGAGCCTGGCCTGTTCAAGGCCCTCTTCCTGGTATTGGAACCCTGACATGTTTATGGGGCTTTTCTCATGACACAGTCACAGTGGCTGGCATCAGCTGAGCTAACTAGACCTATGCAGTATATTGATTTAAAAATATGCGAATTATAAGTTGAGAAGGAAACTTTATATTTTGAAAATTCTCTTGCAAAAAAATAAAAGTATATTTAAAATTTTACCATTATTATTCATTTTTGTCAGAGTGGATGATTTATATGAACCTTGTCATTCTTTTTTTGTCCATCTAAAGAATGGTTCATCACTTCCCCACCCAAGAGTCCCATTTGGAAGGGTGAAAGAGGCAGGGTTCAGGAAGATTTCTGGATGGACCCGGGGAAATTTAACATACCCTTCAAGACATTCATTCATTCATTCATCAATATTTTTTTAGCACCTGAGTGCCAGGCAGTGTTACACACACATTTATGATATATTGATGGACAAAGACCTGCCTTTGGGGAATTTACATTTGAGGTGCAAGGGAACTAGACAATAAATCACACACACACACACACGCACACACACACACACACACACGTGATTTATGTAATATATTTGAATCAAAGGAAAAAGACAGTAGATCAGAGAAAGGAGGATTAAATGTGTTGGGCTGGGGTTGGGTTGGGAAGAAGGCAGATGGAGATTTTAAGTGGGTTTTTCTGAAAGACAGAGTAACACTGTTGGAAGTACTATGGTTGTCTTTAGGCCCTGTTTCTGTTTGAGGTGAGCTGTTAGGACCTGGGGTGGACATTCTGGCATCTGGATAATGCAGGGCACATCCTAGCTTGCATGCTTCCTAGACAGGCCAGAGATTGAAGCAGTTACAACTACCTGCCATCTCTAGAGTCAGATGATTTGGGTCTGAACTGGATTCTACCACTTATCGGCTCAATAAGTACTCACTATCACCATCATCTCCTCAAATAACATTAGCTTACATGGATGGTGAAAGGGGCTATGGCACATTCCAGGACATAGTGGTATACATTTCTAATAATATAAAATGACAGCATTTGTATTAACCAATCACAATAATGTTTGTGAAAGATGATCTTCTTGGCACTGGGAAATTGCTTCATGGTCATATAAGAACCTCTATTTACTCCACTGATTCCTTAGAGCTATGAGGCAATAACAAGTGTATGAGACAGTGGACATATCAGAAATAGCCTTGGACAGAGACTAAGGAAACTACTTTAATTCTTGGCTCTGCTGCTAATTCTCTATGTGCTTCTAGCAGATCTCCTCACCTCTTTGGGCCTCAGCTTCCTTACTGTGAAATTCATGGGGGGAGTTCATTCTGGTTTCTAATATTTCACGGTTTTGTGATTTTTTTTCATGCAGTGAATTGCAAATAAAACTGAGTTGAAAAGAATGATTAGAAAAAAGGAGATTTTTGTGTTTTATGTTTTCCATTAAAAATAGACCTCTGTGAAAGTTGAACAAAATATTCTTAAGTAATCAATCCTACAATGAAACAAGCAAAGGAAGAAAAGCTTTGCTGTTATAAACCAAAACTGATGTTGGAATTGGAATGAGCTTGGGGAAGCGCAGGCACCTCTGAATCATATTAAGATATTTCAAAGTCCTTCACTTACCTGTCCACACTCATTACAGTCATGATGGCACTACAGGCAAATTGGTTACAAGTATCCAGGGATGTGATGATGGTGCAGAGAGGCCCCCCAAATACCCACTCTCCCCCTCGGGCCCACTGGTGAATAAGAAAAGGCATTCCAATGATGTGGACCAAATCAGCCACAGCCAGGTTGCAGATATAGATGTCAGGGACTGTTTTTTTTCTGGACCTGAAAGAGATAGAGGAAACTGAGGTTTGACATTGAATGTATACAGACTATTCAATATATGCTACCTGATACAATTTTTAATTGCCATAATGCATTTTAAAATGTTAAAGGAAACCTACACAAATGCATAGAGGAATTGCCTAGTCTTGTGTATATTTAAGCATTTTGAACTATTTATTTGATAACTTACTGTGGTGGTTTAAAAATATGTCCACAAAATCTTTGATATTCCTTTCAATAGGTGTAGCCTAATTCCCTCTCTCTCTTTTTTTTTCAATTCCCTCTCTTTGAGTGTTGACCTTATTAACTTGCTTCTAACAATGAGAATATGGCAGAAGTCACAGTGTATGCCTTTGAAATTGGGTCACAAAGTTATTGTAGGGTTTTCTCTTTGCTCTCTATTGGATTGCTCTCCCTGGTGGAAGCCTGTTGCCATCTTGTGAGGATACTCAAGCAACACTATGGAGAGGTCCACGTTGAGAGGAGCTGAAGCTCCAGTCAACAACCAGTCAGTACCAGCTTTCGAGGTATGGGAATGAGCTACCTTGGAAGTAGATCCTCCAGCTGCAGCCAAGCCTTCAGATGACTGTAACCCTGGAAGACAGCTTGATGGCAACTTTATGACAGTTCATGAGCCAGAACCAACCAGCTAAGCTGCTGCTGAATCCATGACCACTGGACACACATGAGACAGTAAACGTTTATTGTTTCAATCCGGTATGTTTGGGGTAATTTTTTAATGCAGCAACAAGTTATACCAACTTTAAATACACTCAGACAAAAGATTTAGTCTTTACTCATTCCTAGTATTTAAAACAGCTGAAGACTGAAAATAAATGATTTCTGTTGTCTAATGCTTTTTTTTTTCCTGTTGTAGCTTAGGCCATTGTTAAGATTTCAACAATGACTTAGAAATATTCCAGAAAAATCTAACAAATAGCAAAGACTATTAATAAAGACCCTGAGATCCAGACAGAGAGAGTCATCTGAAAAGAGGGAGCTGGTAGATGGCACTGAGAATGATGTCATGTCTCCTGTGGGGAGCTGGGGGTGGGAGAAGTGAATTCAGTGCTATCTAGAAGTGGCCTTCTCATCAGCAGGTGAAATACATTTCTGAGAGCAGAAATTTAAAATTCAGTTGGTTCCTCTTTCAAGGAGCTGGCACATTCAATAATAAACAGGTATCATCTTTATCTGGGAGATGCTGTTTATTAATTCAACAAACATTTTGTTGAGCACCAATTACATGGCAGGCATAATACTGTGCTCTAAGGCTGTAAAGCTAAACCATGTATAAACCCTGTCATCAAGGAGCTTATAGTCTAGACTTGCATAAATAAATGATCACATTACAATTTGATGAGAGAAAACTAGAGACAAGTACAAGGTCAAGAAGCACAAAGAAGGGGCCCTCTCCTTTTTCTTGGGCACAGTCAAGACAGGTTTCTTGGCAGATGTGGACAAGTAAGAATTTAAAGAGCATATAAGGACCAGTCCTAAGATTATGCCACAATTGCTAGTTTTCTCCTATTTCTTTTTTTTTTTAATTTATTTTTTATTATTATTATACTTTAAGTTCTAGGGTACATGTGCATATCGTGCAGGTGTGTTACATATGTATACTTGTGTCATGTTGCTGTGCTGCACCCATCAACTCGTCAGCACCCATCAACTCGTCATTTACATCAGGTATAACTCCCAGTGCAATCCCTCCCCCCTCCCCCCTCCCCATGATAGGCCACGGTGTGTGATGTTCCCCTTCCCGAGTCCAAGTGATCTCACTGTTCAGTTCCCACCTATGAGTGAGAACATGTGGTGTTTGGTTTTCTGTTCTTGTGATAGTTTGCTAAGAATGATGGTTTCCAGCTGCATCCATGTCCCTACAAAGGACACAAACTCATCCTTTTTTATGGCTGCATAGTATTCCATGGTGTATATGCTCCTATTTCAGGGCTAATGCTCTGCTGTTTGGAAGCTCGTGTGTGTCTTTATTATTCATTGGCTACAACTTCTATAACCTGTGAGCTTCATTTCTCAGCTGTCAGATTCTCATGTGAAACATCAGATTGGGTGAGGCCGTCTCTTCTCCAGGCCTTGGCAGCACCCACTATGTGGGGCAGTTACTGCCATGGAGTCCTCATTCAGCAACCATACTGTATGCATTGTTGCTGCCACTAAAAAAACAGGTTGGTTCCTTGCTCTCAGGAACTTAGTGCCTCACACTAGAATGACCAAGAGGGAGAGATGACATGAAGAAAAGATCATGTCAAACAAAAGACCAGCCAGCTGACTGTCCTTGGTCTCTCATCCCCTGTCCTCTCCAGGCCATTAGAGTGGGAAATGGAGAGGGGACAGAGAAGAGGGACAGATATTAGCAGTCAGATAGAAAGAGCTCCAAACTAAAAAAAAAAAAAACAGACAAAAAAAAAAAATCGTAAATCTTGGTCTATAAATAGACATTATTTGCATGTGAATTGGGATATAAACCATAAGCAGTTGCTTAGGTCTCAATTGCAGCAATTAGATCCATGGTCCTTGTTTTTCTCTAGAGGGGTACCCATCATTTACTGATAATGAATTATGGTAATTATATTGTGGAGACAGTGCAGGCCATTAACTGCCAATTAAAAAGAATTAAATAAAAGTGTGTCTCGATATTCTGTACAGTACAAAGAGAATTCTGAAGCAATTGATAAATTTATCTGGACATAAGTTACTAGGGCAATATAAATAACACATTATATTTATTATTGTCTTCTTTACTGAAAGCAACAGCATCGAAATTAAAAACAAATAGAAATTGTAAAATTTCTAACTATATAAATTATATCCCATTTTAGGTCTAATTTATCTTCAGATTTCCTGATGTCAGACTTCATGAGATTTATGTTTCTTATGATGCAAACATTTAAAATAAAATACAAAGACTTGTGATAATTTTGGCTAACATGTGTTCCATATGGTTAAAGTGGTCATATCTAATGCTCATTAATTTGAGGAATGACAAAATAAATTACGGTATTTTACACTACCACACTCAATAGGATATAGCTGTTATAAGTCATAGTTTGAAAGAATATTTAATCACATTGGAAAAAAAAGAAAGAATACTCGTGTAGAGCATGACTCTAAATTTATTTAAACATTTGTTAAAAAATTTGCAGGAACAATATGTCAAGTGATCACAGTGATCATCTATTTGGTAGTAGTATGACTGATTTTTTTACTTTACTGTTTGCATTTTCTGACAATTTTTCAAAATTTCTATTAAAACCATGCTTACCTTTTGCAATCAGAAATAACAACATATGATATGGATTCAGTAAAACTAACAAAACACAACACTACGCATGTAGGCTGCTGTGCTTGTCATTCGCTAGCCTGTCCTCAGGCCCCTTTGCCAACTGGCTTCTGATTAGGTTTGGCCAATCAGAAGCACTGGTGGGAACTGGAGAGTAAGGGGGAGAAGAGAAGCCAGAATGTAGCCCTCACTCCATGATCCAAGATACCAGTGGGGCTCCAGCTCCCACCAGGCAGCCCAGACTGCGGAGGGCTGTAAAACCTCTTTCTCCCTTTCTCCCTCCAGCTTGGGGCAGGGAGAGGAAGGTGGTGTTGGGGTGAGGGATGGGGTAGGGTGTAGAACTGGCTTCCTGCTCTTGTTAATCTCTGGGTTGCCTCACCATCCTGTCTGGCATTTAACTCTAGTTGAATTAAATTGCTATCATGAGCCAATGCCAATGGATTAGTAGTCATTTCCTGAAGCACTTTGCTGAGAAGAATTCTGAGTCCTCACACAGGACAGACCTATACAAAACAGATGCTACACAGGACAGACCTGTGTGATTAGAGATGACTGCTAAGGGTGAGAGAGTTTACAGTAGAGTCACATATTTGCCAACCCTTCCCTACATAGATAGAGTGATATAGTGGAAAGATAACTTAATTGGGAATTTTATTTTCATTTCTATGCCCTCACTCATTGTGTCGTTAGGCAAGCCACTCAACTTCTTTAGATTCCCAAGCCGGCTTAGCATATTGGCCAACTGGACCATAGATCTGAACAAATGTGGTTGCAAGGTACTCTGGCATCTAAAACATATCTGTGCAGCCAAGGGTATGGGTCAATTCCAACAAAAGTCTGTGTATGGCTGACATTTGGAATGGTAGAGGGCTGGGTCAGAGGGAGCTGTTAGTTATTATTTAATCTGGGTTGGGAAAAAAGAGACCTGTGTTCTAAAACGTTTCCCATCCCTGTCAGCAACTGGAATTCTGCCATTAGACAGTATTCCTCTAGGTTAATACATTTATTAACCTCTGTTTGTAACCTCTGTTTCATGATTTCATGACTTAGTATTAATTAGTTGACCTGACAGGGAGATGAAGGCAGGAAGTGACAAAATGGGAACTCTTTATTTTTGGAGGATAGGGCACCTTTTATAGAGACTCTGCCCACTTGAAGGGAATCTATCAGTAAACAGAAGGAAGATGTGTTCAGAAGGTGGATGTGGGGGTCTGATTAAAAAAAAGTCAGTGCCTTTATTGAAGGACAGGTGATTCCCAGGGCCTGCTGTGCCTGTGGAGAATAGTTGAGTAATGGGGTTGAGTTCATTAATCGGTCTCCTGGGAACGCAAGAGGAAAATATTATAATTGGCTCAATTTTCTGCCTACCTTTTCTAAACTGGCTTCTTTTGACCTGCTACAAATTTAATGTACAACAGACTAGTGATGATCTGGCCTCATTATTTTAAAGTCACCCTCCTAATACACAAGTTGCTTCTTGCTTTTACAAAAGGCACATAGAACATCTTATTATTGAAGCTCCACCTTCCTTAAACATATTTATTTTATATATGTTTCTAGTCTTCATTTGGCAAAGTCAGAAATTGGTTCATTGCTTGCTTATGACTCTTAGTTCTATTGATGAACACTGGTTTTGATACAATTACTACCATAAAAGGAAAAGTCATTAAATCTTGTTTAAATGTTATTTATTTCTCCTTATTGTTACTGTAGTCTTAATATTTTATTTAATTCACCTGTCTGTTCAGAAAGTAACAAAAGATCATGGCAAAGCAGGATGAAAACATTAATACAAATTGCCTTAAAATATTTAGAGAGCAATTTGCAAAATGTTGATACATTCCTAGCTAACTAACTAAATAAATAAATGTAAGTTGCTTTTAAATGACTTTTGAAAGATTAATAAATTTTTGGCGAGCAATTTGCAAGGAAAAGTGTTAAAATCTTAGCAAAAAAATTAAAACTCTTGTTTTAATTAACAGTTGTTCCCTATACTTTTTGAAAGATTAAAATATTTATTTTAAAAGCTCCATTAGCATTTCTTTATCTAATGTATATTCTCACGTTATGTATAAAATGATAATATGAAGAAATGCTAGATTTTTCACAATAATGCAAACAAATTGGTCCATATAATGGCTCAAGTGTTTTTTTCCCCAGTTAAATGATGGTTGACTTCATGTTGAAAATCTGTTTCCATAAATCATAGCTCAGAATTTACTTTTAGAAGAGTTCACATTGCACATGTCTTCCTTTTTTTCAACTTTGTCTCTGTATAAGTAGACGGGATTAGCCTGTTATCTATTGGTGTAAATTGAGGGGTCCAAGAAATTTCTCTGGCTCCAAACATCTCTTCGACAGCTTGTCACAAGGCCTGGAATCCCACACTGCAAAGGTTTTGCATATAAAAGCCACCTGTGAAAATGCAAACATTTCAGAAGGGCTAAGACCTAATAAGGACTTGGTTTTTAAATGGTGGTACCAAGGCTTTTGGGTGTAGGACACACTATATGTATCTGTAGAAGAGCAGGGCAGAAATACTGGAGGCCATGAGGGAGAAATGGAAGGAGAACTGGGCAGGTCCAACAGGCCAACAGGAGGGAGCTAGAAATATTCTCAAGTATCTGGCTATTAACTCTCTACTCAGCACTATTGCCTCTTTGAGGCTCCCTAAGAATATTTGATTACTTCCATTTTCTTTCCTGGAACTCATCTGAGCCATCTTTTTTCCCCTGCAATTGATTGTTTTTATTGTCTTTCTTGTATTATTTTTCAAATTATTCCATGAATTTAAATCTCATCTTCTCCACTAGAATATGAACTTTTTAAACAGATGCTGCTTTTTTTTTTTTTTTTGTATTTTCATACACCCTAGGGCAATGCAGGGCATGCAATAGGTATTTACTAATATATATTGAATGGACATTCTTCTAGCACTTAAAGAAAAGTTTAAAATGCTTGATATTCACAAATGGCTTTACAGGACACAATAAGGAATGCCTGAATTTATTAAGAGTAGAATCCCTATGTACTAAATAAATCTTCAGCTGTGACTGGTATAAAAAATACCATTGATCCTCTAGTTCTAACTGCAGAGAGAGCGAAAATGAAAGTTTGAGAGAGGGCTGGCTGATGAGACGCCACCCGGGAAAGTGACAAGTTATGAGTCTTCTCGGGGTGATGAGCACCATCTGCATGACCATCCTGAGGGCTCCTCTTGCTCTCAATTAAGGCTGTGAGGATTCTTTTATCTTTATGGCAAATCCAACAACTGTCTCTATAATTTTGATGACCTCTTTGTTTTCATTAGCTGTGGAGGAAATAGCCTAGAATTTGGAATAAGATCTGAGTTCAATTGCCAGGATTGCTACTTACTAGCTCTGTGATGCTGGACCAGTTATTTACTCATCTGAGCCTCTTTTCTTAAATATATAGTACTGTATATATAATAGTACTGCTACATATATAGTACTATATAATGTACTATATATAATGTACTATATATAGTGTGTATATATACTATATATATAAGTACTATATAATGCTATATAGTACTAGTGTAATAATAGTACTGCTGTGCTTTTTAGTGTAGTATGTTCCACAAAAGTTTTTTGCGGTTATGTGTTAATATGATGCTGAAAACACCTATTAGGTAGTACAGGTTGGGCATCCCTAACTTGGAAATCCAAAATCTGAAATGCTCTAAAATCTGAAAGTTTTTGAGGAATAACATGACCCTTCAAGTGGAACATTCCACACCTGACCTCATGTGATGGGTTGCAGTCAAAATGCTGCTGCACAACACACAGCATTTCCAAGGGAAAAATGAGCCTCCCAGCCCCCTTCAGCTGCTGTTGTTTCGCAGCTGGTGCTGGTGTTCTGGTGATGTTACTGGGCTGCTTAGTTGCCCTGAACACATTATTTTTCACTGTATTAGTGGTATTAATGGCCATATTTTTTACTGCTAAGTACCGTTGTGTGAATAAGTTTAAGAAAGTGATTGTTCATTGGTTAGATGTAAATCTGGAGTCAGGAATGATGGTGATGCCAGACAACCACGGATGTCCACATGGGTGGCAGAGAGAGTGATGACTTTACTATCTGATGGTTTGGTTTACAAAAATTTGTCTCATGCATAAAATTATTTAAATTATTACATAAAGTTACTTTCAGGCTTTGTGTATAAGGTGTAAATGAGACATAATGAATTTTGTGTTTAGACTTGGTCCCTTCTCCAGGATATCTCATTATGCATATACAAACAGTGCAAAATCCAGAAAAATCTGAAATCTGAACCACTTCTGGTCCCAAGCATTTTGGATAAGGGATACTAAACCTGCAGTCTAGAATACCTTTTATAACATATGAATATGCACAAACATTTTAAAAATGGCAATTTTAAGTATAATCAGAAACTAGGAAAAAAAGTTAACATCCTATAGTTATTAAAACTAGCAAAACTTACATGTGAAAATCAAGATAGCAAATATACCAAGTAGTTAAAGGGCTTGTGTGCACTAATTCTGAATCCATTTTATCAAGTCCCTAGAAAACAAATAATCAGTTCTTTTTCTCCAGGTAAAACTTTAGTCTCTACTTGAGAAGAGGGAATTACCTGAATTAGGTGAGATACGTGGTGCCCAGGCAGGAGGTACTGGGGGGCAAATGTCTCTCAGTTTGGTCTATATAGGCTGGTCTACACAAAAAGGGAACAGCCCACTACCTATGACTCCCTGCATCTTCTGGTGATCAGATAAAGTCTCTCTTTTGCCCAAGTGAGTAAAAGAATCTCTTTCACCTGCCTAAACAGGTCAGCTTTTTAGGATAATTCTTATTGCTGGAAAATAAAATGTTGCATTGCAGTTTCAAATCTTACCCAGACCCTACCCTTAGAGATTCTGAGTTAATGGGTCTGGGGTGAAACTGCATATCAGGAGTTTTTAAAACTCCCCAGGTGATTCTAATATGCAGCTAAGACTGAGAGTCATTGCCCTAAAAATTCACTGACCCAGCAGTAAGCATTGGCCTAGGTCTTAGCATGTTGAGATTTCCAACTGAGATGTTACCTAATGCATGATGAAAGTATCTGTAGAATCTTCATTAATTATCTTAATTATCTTAAGCAAATATTTAAGAAATTGCATTTCATTAAGCAAAATGCTACAGGGGAAAGGATTGATTTAGGGAGCTTTGACTGTAGTTTCCTAAAGTACAGAAGGAAAAAAAAAGGAGCACTTACCTTATTATAGTGAATACAATGAGGATGTTGCCAACCAGCCCTGTTGAACAGATAATCCCAATCATGGAAGGGAGGATGACTGTATCTACAACACTGGCAGTTTGATAAGCAAACTCTTTATTCCAGGATTTGTTTGAAAGTTCGGCAGAGGTGTTCCAACAAGATGAGTGAAATGGATTCATTGTTCATGGACTTCCAGGGATTAAAGCTGTGAAGTAATAGGAAGTGATTTATTTAGTGAACATTCTCTCAATATAACTTCCTTTGCCTAATTCAAATAATATTTTTTGGGACCTATTTTTTTTAAACCAAGATTCCATGGAACACAGGATTCCAGGTTGAGTATGATTTGTCCCTGTTCATAGTAATCTCACAGATTACCATAAGAGACAGGTAAACAGCAAGTTACAGAACAACATGAGAAGCACCATGATAATCTTTGTATCTTACCACATCTTACTGTACTATATGCTTTGAGCATAGGTGATATTTACCTAGTATATACTGGTCCTGGTTGTTTACAGATCGCTGGTATTCTTATTGGCCTGTAGGTCTGTTCATATTGGCTAGTATTCTTGTAACACTTATGTTGTTAAATATATCCTCTCTGTCTGCTATAAAATGCATGGGATCTACTGAACTCAGATTGTTTAGAAATGGAATGGATAAGACTTCCTGATGTGATTATTGGACTATCCTGAAGCATGAGGAAGAGTTAGCTGAGCAAAGTAGAGTTGTGGGAAGGGAAAAGTGTTGTAGCCAGCGGAGGCATCATGTGCAAAGAAGTATTCAAGGAGAAATGCTCACTGCCAAAAAATAAACAAGTAAATAAAGCCAAATAGAACTAGAAAATTATTTGCTTGATCATCTGTTTTGATAAAAGACATTTTAAAAATGCCATCTAAGTCTGGTGTTTGGTAATGATAAATTGGATTACTCAGATTAATCTTCCCACTGAAAATAAAATATGCTGGACAAAATATGTGTGTGTGTATTTATATTTATGTATGTCCATGTGTGTGTATACAGCAACTTAAAAATATTCAAGGTCTGAAAAATCAGTAGGCCTTCCCTGGCTGGGTTTTGAATGAGATCTTGAAAGGTAAGTGGAATATTGAAGCACCAGTGCTATCTTGATTTAGAAGACATTTAGGGATGACATAGCATTTGAAGTCTGGTTCCATGTCTACAAGAAGTCCAGAGAAAAATTAGGGTCCAGGGCCTACTGAGGCTGGGGAATCTTACAGGAGATACCCTCCTCTGAGCTGGAGCCTCAGGGGCTTCATGATTAAGTGTATTATATTTGGTCAGATTAAGAAAGTTCCCTTCTATTCCCAGTTCATCAGCAGGTTATTAGTTTAATATTAAAGATGGTTTTTCCATCAATTGAGAGAGTGATGTGATTTTTAAAAAATGTTCTTCATTTTCATTTGGTTCTTTTTCATGTCTGTCACGTTACTTTGATAATTGAATCTCCCCTGAAGAAAACTTTAATTATGAAATGCTGAACATTTCCCTTTCAAAACATGAAAGAACGTCCACTATTACCACTTGTCTTCAATATTGGACTTCTCTAGCACAATGAGGGAAAAAAATAGGATGTATGAGACTTGGAGAGTAAGAAAGTCTCAGTGTTATTATTGTGCAGCTATAAGAGAATTTAGTAAGTTTGCTGGATATGAAAACAAGCCAAAAAAATTGCATTTCCATATATTTTCTACAAACCATTAGAAAAAGAAGGTTTAAAAGAGTTAACATTTAACTGTTAAAAATATATATACCTAATGCTAAACCCAGCAAAAATATGTAAGAACTCTACTGGAAAAGTTATAACATTTAACTGATGTTAAAGAACATTTGTAAATGGAGAAAAATACCAAGTTAATGAATTTGAAGACTCATTATTCTATAGATGTCAATTTCCCCCAGATTGACTTATAGATTCAATGCAATTCCAATAAAATTCCAAGTTTTATTATCTGTGAAAGATGATAACATACTACTTCTGACATAAAAGACTAAGAATTGTAAGTAAACTCTTGAAAAAAGAGAACCAGATAGAAGGACTTAATTTATTTGATACTAAGACAAATTATAAAGATACAGTAATCTACCTAGTGTGATATTTGAATAGGGATAGACAAATAGATCAAGGGAACATTAAAGAGAACATTAAAGAGAGCCCCCACACATATACATTACACTTGATACATGAAAAGATGTCACTTTAGAGAAGTGAGGAAAGAATGGACTCTTCCATAAATGATGCTGGGACAACTGCCTATCTAAATAGAAAAAAAACAATCTCACCTATATAAATATATATTATACACACATATACATGAATTCATATATGCTTACTTACACTTATATGCGCATTGATTTAAAATCTATACATACATAAAAATAAACCCCATGTGGCTTAAAAACAAATGTAAAAGGCTTTTAGAAGTGAATATAGAATATCTTTATGTCCTTGGAGTAAAAAATTTCATAAACAAGACACAGAAAACACAGATGTTTAATAAAAACCTGAAAAATTCGATTACAATGAAAAAAAATCTGTTCATTAAAAGACACCATTAAGACAGTAAAATAGGAAATTTCAGACCCTCTTTCTCCCATGGCAACACTGATTCAACAGCCATACATGGAACAATTCCTTTTGTGAGAAACCCAGAAACCAGTTAAGAAACTTTTGCATCCTAGGCAAAGGGGAAGCCAGCTACATCAAAGCCAGTAGAAGAACCTGTGGCACCCTCTTGCCATAGTATCTCTCTCTGGCACAGTGCCATGTGATTGCGGGGAAACTTCCAGCTCCTGGCTTCTCCCTGGGGAGAGAGAGGAAACTGGAGCATATGTCCATTTTTCTGACTTTCAAGGGGCTTCTTTGGGGACAGGCTTTTGTCTTATCTATCTCAGCGTATTGGCAGGAAATGGCATATTCTGGATAGCTGGGGGCTCCTCAGAAAAAAAGAGCTGGGCAGTGTGCTGCTGCTCCAGAGGACCTGTGGTATAGCTGACAGAGGTCAATGCTGCTTGGCAGTATCTTCCTTCAAGGAGAGAAGAGTGGAGCATATATGCAGTGTTCTGGCTTTTGGGGGGTTTCCAGAGGTACTGGTTTCTATGTAGTCCAAATTGGGGCACTGATGAGACCTCATGTACTCTGGATGCCTGGAAGGCCACTGGGAACACAAAAAGAGTCGGGTGGCATGCTGCTATTTTGGAGAACCTGTGGTACAAAAGATAGATACCAATGGAGAAAGAAATTACGAGTTCCAGGAAAAAAAATTGGTAAATCTCTCTAATTAGGAACCTAGACACAGACATCCAGAGGAGACACATCCACAGAAAATGTTTGCGATGTCCCCTGAATCTGTAGCTATGCTGCTTGGTGAAGATGTTTCCCTGTTTGGAGCCAGTCTACAAAGACTGGGAGAGGTAGCTATATTGTTAAAATGTGTAGATACTAATGCAAAATTACAAGGAACACAAAGAAGCAGAGAAAATTGGCCCAATCAAATAAGGCAAGCAAGTTTTCAGAAATTGATACTAAAGAAATAGTTAGATACTAATTGCCTGACAAATAGTTCAAAATAACCACCATAAAGGTGATTGATAAACTCATCAAAACAATACAGGAACAAAATGAGAATTTCAGCAAAGGGATAGAAAATATAAAAAAGAACCAAACAGATTTTGGAGCTGAGAAATTCAAAAATTGAAATGAGGAATTCACTATAAAGTTTCAACAGCAGATTTGATCAAGCAAGAGAGAGAATCAGAAAATTTGAAGACAAGTGATTTGAAATAAAATAGGCAGAGGAGCAAAAAGACACAATAATAATAATAATGAAGGGTAAAAATGGCCTAAAAGGCTACTGGACACCATTGAAAGGATCCATATACATGTTATGGGAATCTCAGAAAAAGAAGAGAAAGAAAGGGACAGAAAGCTTATTTAAAGAAATAATGGTTGAAATCTTCCTAAATATGGGAAGGGAAATGAACACCCAGATTCAAGAAGACCAGCTTACCTCAAATAGGCTACATCCAAAGAAGTCCACAAAGGCAAGAGAAAATTTCAAAAGCAGCAAGAGAAAAATGATTCACTGTGTACAAGGGACTTCCAATACATCTGTTAGGGGACTTCTCAGCAGAAATCTTGAAAGCCAGGAGAGAGTGGGATGATATAGTCACAGTGCCGAAAGAAAAAACTGGCAACCAAGACTACTACGTCCAGCAAAAATATTCTTTGAAAATTGAAGAGAGATAAAGACTTTTTCAGAAAACAAAAGCTCTTCAAGGAGAACTACAAACCACTGCTCAACAAAATAAAAGAGGGCACAAACAAATGGAAGAACATTCCATGCTCATGGATAGGAAGAATCAATATCGTGAAAATGGCCATACTGCCCAAGGTAATTTATAGATTCAATGCCATCCCCATCAAGCTACCAATGACTATCTTCACAGAATTGGAAAAAACTACTTTAAAGTTCATATGGAACCAAAAAAGAGCCTGCATTACCAAGACAATCCTAAACCAAAAGAACAAAGCTGGAGGCATCATGCTATCTGACTTCAAATTATACTACAAGGCTACAGTAACCAAAACATGGTACTGGTACCAAAACAGATATATAGACCAATGGAACACAACAGAGGCCTCAAAAATAATGCCACACCTGTACAACCATCTGATCTATAACAAACCCGACAAAAACAAGCAATGGGGAAAGGATCCTCTATTTAATAAATGGTGTTGGGAAAACTGCCATATGCAGAAAACTGAAACTGGACCCCTTCCTTACACCTTATACAAAAATTAACTCAAGATGGATTAAAGACTTAAATATAAGACCTAAAACCATAAAACCCTGGAAGAAAACCTAGGCGATATCATTCAGGACACAGACATGGGCAAAAACTTCGTGACTAAAACACCAAAAGCAATGGCAACAAAAGCCAAAATTGACAAATGGGATCTAATTAAACTAACGAGCTTCTGCACAGCAAAAGAAACTATCATCAGTGTGAACAGGCAACCTACAGAATGGGAGAAAATTTTTGCAATCTACCCATCTGACAAAGGGCTAATATACAGAATCTACAAAGAACTTAAACAATTTTACAAGAAAAAACGACAACCCCATCAAAAAGTGGGCAAAGGATATGAACATACACTTCTCAAAAGAAGAAAATAAA